CTCCTTCCCCTCAGTGTTACCTTGCCTATCCATCCACTGCTCGCTCCTCTCCGTCCCCAAGCGTCTCCCATCTTCGCTCGCTTCTCACCGCCCCGCCCAGTGTCCGCCCACCCGCTGCTTGCTCCTCTCCACCCACAAGTGCCTCCTGCCCACACTCGTTCCTCTCCACATGCTCCCCCAAGTGCCTCCCACCCATTCCTCTCCGCCCCCTCCCCCAAGTGTCCTTCCATCCAACCACCCACCACTCGCTCCTCTCCACCCCTGAGTGCCTCCCACCTGCTCCTCTCCGCCCCCTCCCCCAAGTGTCCTTCCATCCAACCACCCACCACTCGCTCCTCTCCACCCCCCGAGCGCCTCCCGCCTGCCACTCGTTCCTCTTCACCACCAAGTGCCTCCTGCCCACGCTCGCTCCTCTCCGCTCCCTCCCTTGAGTGTCCCCCGCCCGCCCACCCACTGCTTGCTCCTCTTTGCCCCCGAGTACCTCCCACCTGCTCCTCTCCACCCCTTCCCCTTCCCCCCGCCCGCCCACATGGTGCTCGCTCCTCTCCATCCCCGAATGCCTCCTGCCCACTCCTCTCCACCCCTCCCCAAGTGCCTCCTGCCCACTCCTCTCCACTCCCTCCCGAGTGTCCCCACCATCCACCTACCACCGCTCGCTCTTCTCAGCCTCCAAGTGCCTCCCACCTACTTCTCACCACCCCCTCCCCCGAGTGTCCACCTGCCCGCTGCTTGCTTCTCTCCAAGCGCAATTGCCTCCTGCCCAGGCTCGCTCCCCTCCCCCAAGCGCCTCCCGCCTGCTCCTCTCTGCCCCCTCCCCTGAGTATCCCTCCGTCCATCCACCCACCGCTCGCTTCTCTCCACCCGAGTGTCTCCCGCCTGCTCCTCTCCACCCCCTCCCCCAAGTGTCCCCCTGCCTGCCCGCCCACTGCTCACTCCTCTCCACCCCCCGAGTGCCTCCCGCTGCACTCGTTCCTCTCCACCACTTCCCCTAGCGTGCGCCCACCCGCCACTCCCTCCTCTCCACCCCAGAGCACCTCCTGCTCACTCCTCTCCGCCACCTCCCCCGAGTGTCCCGCTGCCCACCCACCCCCCACTCGCTCCTCCCCACCTCCAAGTGCCTCCCGCCTGCGCTCGCTCCTCTCAGCCCCTCCCCTGAGTGTCCCCCCACCCGCCACTCGCTCCTCTCCACCCGCAAGTGCCTCCCGCACATGCTCGCTACTCTCCGCCCCTTACCCCGAGCACCTCCCGCCCACTCCTCTCCGCCCCTTCCCGAGTGTCCCCCCCATCCACCCACCACCGCTCACTCCTCCTCGGCCCCAAGCACCTCTTGCTTGCTCCTTTCCACCCCCTCCTCTGAGTGTCCCCTGCCCACCACTCACTCCTCTCCACCCCAGAGTGCCTCCCACCCGTGCTCACTCCTCTCTGCCCCCTCTCCTGAGTGCCTTCCACCCACTCCTCTCTGCCCCCTCCCCCGAGTGTCCCCGCCATCCACCCACACGCTGCTCGCTCCTCTCCACCCTGAGTGCCTCCCGCCCGCGCTCACTCCTCTCTGCCCCTCCCCCGAGTGTCCCCCCCCGCCCGCCTACCCGCCACTCACTCCTCTCTGCCCCTGAATGCCTCCCGCCCACTCCTGTCTACTCCCTCCCCTGAGACCCCCCCACCTGCCCACCTACCACTTGCTCCTTTTTACCCTTTCCTGCCTTGAGGGCAAGTGACGGGGGGAGAGTGCCGAGAGGAGCGAGCAGGGAGGCAGGAAGAGGTGCAGCACAGGTGGGGCCATGGGGGAAGAGGCCAAGTGGGGGCGGGGCCTGGGGGTGGAGTGGGAGTGGGACCTCAGGGCAGGGCCATGGTCCGTGGGTGTGTTTTTTTTTCCCGTGGGTGCTTGAGCCCCGGAGCACCCCCAGTCGTCACCTATGTGCATACCACAGTAGCCTCTAGATACCCCACCTGAGATCCGTGCCCCCTTGTGTCGGGCGCTGCACAGACACCCTGCTGTCCTGAGAGTTAACAACACCCTCTGGTGGCCGGTGCCCTGTCGGTGAATGTGTTTCTCCGTTTGTTTTACAGGTGCCATCTACACATTTCTAAGTAAGTTTCTTCTTCACCTTCAGCCATTCCTGGGAGTTGGGCCATGTTAACTCAGACTGGGTAACGACTCCTTTAAATCAGGCGCCACGCGGCGAGGTTTCTGGTGGCACCGGCGCAAGCGACTTGGGGAACGCAAATGCCCTAGCAAATCTGGGGCTGCAGTGTAACGCCCAGAGAGGCAGTGAGTGGGTCCCCTAGAGGATCCATCAGCCCTTCCCACCCCAGCATGGTGTCTAGATTGGGGTGCAGTTTTTGGACTGAAACTTTGTTTTCGGTGAAAAATGCAGATTCGATGACACCAAAATGTGTTGTGAATTCGTGTCTCTTTCTCCCAGTTATTTGAGCTGGGGGAAAAAATGAAATCGACTAAAATGCTGAAGAAAATCAAAATGTTTAGATTCGACCTTCCCAATGTGATCCATGCAGATTTTTCCTCTCAGAATTGCCTTGAATTTCAGGTGTACAAAAATAAGTTCAAAAAGGCTCGAATCCGGACCTGAAGGTTTTGTTTGGGTCGAGAAGGTTCTTCTGCTGGGACAAGGGAGGTGGGCAGACCTAGGCTGCCCTGGGTGTCTCTGAGCATCGGTTCTCCCGGCTGGGTGGGTTTAATGCTGGGCCCAGAGCGAGACATGGACAGGTTTGGAACCCAGGCCCAGGCTAACGTGCTGTCTCTTTGTGTCCACAGAGGAAAGCCATGGCAGACCAAGTGAGTGTGAATTTGATCTCTAGACTATATGTAACTTAGCTAGGCAGTTAACTGCCCTGGACTAAGCCCTGGCCTGTTGTTCTCTTCTCATTTCAGGTTGGAAAGAAGCATTTCTCAAAGCCGGTAAATCCAAAATGGAGAGTTAGGTCTAGCGGGATATGGGTGCGCAACTGGGAGTCAGGACTCCTGGGTTCTAAGATTGGCTGTGGGAGGGGAGAGGAATCTAGTAGTTAAGGAAAAATGGGGGCTGGGAGTCAGGACTCCTGGGCTCTATTCCCAGCTCTGGGAAGGAAGTGGGGTCTAGTGGGTTATCGGTGGGCAAGTGGGAGTCAGGACACCTGGGTTCTAACATTGGCTGTGGGAGGGAAGAGCGGTCTAGTGGGTTATGGGTGGGCAGCTGGGAGTCAGGACTCCTGCGTTCTAACACTGGCGGGGGGGGAGGGGTCTAATAGATATGGGAAACTGGGGTCTGGGAGTCAGGACTCCTGGGTTCTGTCCCAGCTCTGGGAGGGGTGTGGAAAGTCATGGTTTAAGCAGAGTGCACCATGCTCCTTGGCAGATGTTTCTCCCTGACTCCCAGCTTTTGCTGGAGTTTTGCTTTAAAACGTCTCGTTCTCCAGCTGGACCAATTTAAGTCTTTGAAATGAGCAAACTGCCTTCCCTGAATCTGTCCCCCCACCCCGCCCCCCATCTGTCTGTCTCTAGCGGACGTGACCCTGGACCCAAAAACAGCTCACCCCAGTCTGGAGCTGTTTGCAGAGAGGAAGGGCCTAAGGAACACAGGTCCAAGACAATCACTGCCTGATGGCCCGGGGAGATTCGACGTTTACTCCTGCGTGCTCGGCTCCAACGGCTATGAGTCAGGGACGTATTACTGGGACGTGGAGGTGGATGGCACAGGGGGCTGGGCTTTGGGCGTCACCAGGGAGTCTGCCAGCAGGAAGGGACGGTTCAATTTCAGCCCCAAGCAAGGCACGTGGGCCATCCAGCTCTCCAGGGGCCAGTACCGGGAAGTCACTGTGGAATGGAGCCCGCTGGACCCGCCCCAGAACCCTGGCAAGATCAGAGTGTATCTGGACTATGAAGGAGGGGTTGTGTGCTTCTACGATGCTGATACCATGGCCCCCCTCCACACCTTCACCTCCTCCTTTTCTGGGAAGATCTACCCGTTCTTCTGGGTCTGGTCTGTAGGGACCTGCCTTAGACTGTGTCCCTGAGCCTTTCCCAGCCAGATCTCTGCACATGCAAACCTGTTGATGCAACACACCAGCCGCCACAATGGATGGGGGGGAGGGATGGAAGAGATGCATGTATAGGTTGTTGGCCATGTTTTATTAGTGACGACCCCTTGCTGGAAGGCTGTTTTCACACTACGTAAATGGAAATAAACCTGTTCTTCAAAAAAGAAAAGCAAATTCCATCACACACAAAGGTAACATCCCCCGCTGACAAAGTGGAAATCGTCTGTGATATTTTTATGACACCTATACGTGTCTCAGTTTCCCCTACATGCTGCATTGTTACCCAGTGCGGGGGTGTGACGTTATTGAC